CAGGAATTTGCCTTCTGAAGCTCAGCTGGAACCCATGGACCAGAAACAGGAGTTACCAACAAGGTCCATAGCACCCCAGAGGTGCCCCTACTTCCTCTGAGCCACAGCATTGCTGTGTCACTGCAGGGATGGACAGATGACTGGATGGCTGAATGGATGGGGGTCTCCAAAGATGGGTGGACAGACAAACAGAAAAGGTGTCTCCTTTCTGCCAGGAGGGCTGGCTGAATAGATGGACAGACAGACGGTTCTGTGTGTGGCTGGACAGAATGGAATGCGTTCAAGGACAGACGGACATGGGTGTGTTTGGGTAACTGGAATGATGGGTGTTTTAGGAGAATGGATGGACGTAGGGAAGTTGGGGTGGGGGTGGGGGTTCAGGATGGACAGACAGACAGACTGATGCCTGGGCCAATGGAAGTGTGTGGGGAGGTGGGGTTAGATGGCCGGGAGGAGACTGTTGAGGGTGGAAGGCTGACATGTAGCGGGTGTCGTGGCTCTAGGGCTGAGATCCTGGCTCTGGGTAGAAACAACAGAGGCAAATGCCTGGCTAGAAGCCCCATTGCTCCTTACCTTGCTGGGCAGGGACCTGGGGGGAGCCATCATGGGGGCTGGCAGCAGAGGCTCAGCAGCACTCTTAAGGGTTGTGGAGGGCTGTGATCTCCTGTCTGCGTGGGGCAGATCCCTCTAGTGCCGAGTCCAAAGCCTTTCCAGGGTGCTTCTGTCCTGGAGGCACCTTCAGGCATCCGGTATTTGCACTCCGCTGCGTGAGCAAGTGCTATTGCCACGCCTAGCAGCTTCAGGATCTGAGTTCTCCTCCCAGGTGCCAGGCTGTGGGCGGGGAAAGGCCCCTGTGATGGCAGGGCTCTCCCAGCCACACCACGGCAACGTGGAACCCCACAGAACCATGGAATTCTGGGGCCCGTGCCCCAAAGCATCCGCAACCAGGCCCGCTCCTGGAAACCTCTGGTGAAGGAGATACCACAGCCCCGCTGGGCAGCCAGTTCTTCCCCTGCCTCCCCATTCCCACCACAGGGAGGTTCTTCTTGAGATCCAGCCTCTGTTTCCTTTGCTACCAGTCAAAGCCATGGGTTAGGTCCTTTTCCTTGTTGTATTGCAGTAGCTATAATTGCTTTAATTGCTTTATATTGCTATTTTTATAATGAATTATTTTGCTATTAAGATAAAGTTAATCTTATTATGATTTATTTTTCATAATATTTTGATCAGTCATTATTATTCTGTATCAAATATTAAATAGCCATGGAATTAACCATCTACTTTAAATCCCGTATTGCTTAGCATAAATATATCTGACCTGTTGGTCTCATGATTTTAGAACTTAAATTTAGTATAAGAAAAATGTTTATGTAAGGTCTGTGGTATGTCTGGTATACTTGAAAAGAGGTAATGAAAGAATGAGTGATGTATGTATGTGACAATGTGAAGGAAGGTGGTCCTCTCGCAGCAGGTGAATATAGCCTTCTGTGGTTTAACAATCAAAGGTTGCAGTGATGTTGAGTCAGCAGTTAAGGATTACCAAATACTAAATCATGCCTTCACCCTGACAGCTGAAGATTACAAGCAATGACCCCCGAAGACTGCAGACCACAAACCCAGAAGATCACGTCCTACTAATTCCAGCCTGCCAATGGGACAAGGAGGATGACCTTCACGTGTGACTCAGCGGAATCCATAGGCTAGCATGGACAGCTATTACTATAAAGAATGAACACAAAGAAAAGGCTTTGGGGTCTGTCCACCTGGAAGAAGGAGTTTTGGGCACATCCAACAAAACCTGACTCCATTCCTTGTGGTTTGTCTGCTGGCCACCAGACTGACCCAAACATCTTTAGAACTTGGTAACACCTTAACCTTCACAGGACTGTCTAACTATCAGTGTGTGCTTTTTTTTTTTGTATGAATGAATGAGTATGTATGGGAATGAGTGAAGCAGATAACCTTACTGTTCTTTATTCCTTTTATGTTTTATGTTCCAATAAATGTGGTGCTGTGCCTTATCCCCTGATAAGATTCCTGCTTGTTTTTAATTCACACTGTATGCCCTGTGTGTACAACATCCTCAGCACAAAGGGAGGATGTTTGGTTTTCCACTTCTTTGTGGCAGACATTCAGATTATTGAAGATGGTTATCATGTCCCTCCTCACCTTCTTAATTGCCTTTTCTCCAATCTGGACATGCCTAGATCACTCATCTGCTGCTCCTACACTGCCTGCCAGCCTCTTTATCAGTCCCGTCGCCCACCTCTAGACCCTCTCTAGTTTCTCCACATCCTTCTGAGCACACGGAGCCCAGATATGCACACAACACTAGAAGAGGCCTGAGCAGTGCCGAGTAGAGTGGCACAGTCACCTCCCAACTCCCGCACCCAATGCTCCTATCCATGAGAGGATCCAACCATCGAGGGACAGGAAGAGTAGGAACGACAGGAAGGCCAGGAGGCAGAGAGTCAGCAGGAGAGCCAGGGCAGAGGGGATCCAGGAGCCCGTGAGGGCAGGGTTTGAAATGCACTTTGACTCTTGGTGGGGGTCTGCAAAAAAATCAAACCAGTTCATTGATTAACAAATCCACCTAAGTGAAGGAGCAATCCGATCGGAGACCCCCCAGGTTGTGATTTTCAAATCTTACAGGGAGACTGTCATCTCTTATGGGGGGCTCAGCTCCCCCTTAATTCACAACTTGCATGAGGGCCATGGCAGTGGGAGCAGGGGTGCTTCCCCCCTGGGGAGAGAGGGAGAGGAGATGGATGAAATTCAGGCACAGGGCACGAATTTCAAGATGCTCCTCCAACGTTCTCACCTGAGGTAGGCCTAACCATTGGCCATGATGGCAGTAGCAGGGAACAGTGGGGCACTGAGATTCTGTCTACCATTCTCTACTGTCACCTCCTGGGTCCTATATCCAGTGTTCCTGCTCATGGAAGGACCCAGGATTTTGGAAAGGGGGAGCCACAAGGATCACCAGTAGGCTGTTTTTTAAGTCCTTCAAGCAGGTAAGAATCATCCAAAGTCTTGGCAGTTCTGATTCAGAGGCCATGCCCTTCATTTCTACGCTCAGTAGCTCCAGAAGCCCCTTTCCTCCAAGAACCTGGCCAGTCCCTTTTTGAATCTGGCTGAGCTGTCAACTTCCACTGTATCTGGCGGCAATGAGTTGCACACTTGAATCACACACAGTGTGGAAAAGAGCTTCCTTTTTAGTTTTAAACTTGCAACCTATTAGCTTCATTTTGTGACCCCCCCCTAGTTCTTGTCTTGTGAGAGCCAATAAATAATAAATCCCCACTGACTTTCTCTTCGCCATTTAGTATTTTGTAAACGTTTTTCGTGTCTCCCATCAAGCATCTCTTTTCTAAATGGAATAGGCCTGGCCTCTTCAGTCTCTCCTAAGATGGAAGTCCCTTCGTACCACCGATCATCCTTGTGGCCCTTCTCTGGACCTTCTTTAGCTCTTCTAGATCTTTTTTGGGGTGCAGGGGCCAGAGCTGGACACAGGATTCAAGGTGTGGATGCACTGTGGATTCATAAAGGGGCATCATGACACTTTTTGTTTACAGGAAGGACATCCCACCCAGTCAGATCTGCGTGGACTCTGGAGGGGGGGTTGTCTTTCTCTGTAGTGGGGGCAGGACCCTTCTCCTCGGGTCTCTCCCGTGTATGTAACAACCTGGCAGTGGCCAGATACTGCCAGCCCTCATCCCCCTGCTCCACCTGGGGCAGGTCATGGAGCCTCTACCTGGGATCTCGTAAGCATGTATGAACTTTTTTCAGCAGCAGGACATTGGCTGCTGTTGTCCCCCTGCTTTACCTGTGGCAGGGTGGGGTGTGATGTCTTGCATTGTGTCAGGATTGACGGTAGTTTTACTAAGTGGCTGGACAATGGATTTGTACAGGATTGTTTGGATAGGGCTGATCCTGCCTCAGGCAGTGGGGTGGGCTGGATGCCCTTTGGAGGGCCCTTCCAGCCTGACTGCTGTATGACTCGCTCTCTCTACACACACACACACATACACATACTTCACATCCTCCCACACATGGATCACACGTCCCCACCAGCCACACTTTGATGTGAGACAGAGCTGGGAGGGAGGAAGAGAGGGATGACTGATCCCTGCTGGGAGGCAGTGGGGTGAACAAGCAGCTTCTGCTGGGGTCGGCTGGGGGGGTGCATTGCACACCCTGACCAGCAGGTGTCACAGCTCCCCTGGCTGCATACTGCATGCAACACCACAACTGGCCACTGGGTGTCACTGTGGGGGGGAGGGGGAGCCACACAACAGGGTAGGGTGAGAGGTGCACCATGCTGTGGGGAGCAGGGGAGGGGCACAAGGGGGCACCATGGAGCAGGGAGCCCTCCACCCCTCAGCCTGGGGTCTGTACAGCACCTGCCATGGTGGGGGCCAGCCCTCATAAACCCTCCATCCCAGGCCCTCTTTCCCCAATTAACCACCCTTATGCCTGCTCCAGTATCAGCTCCAACCCTTCACACCCCAACAAGGTCCACAGGACAGCAGTTGAGCTCAGCCCTCTTTATTCACTCCAGGTGGCTGGGACAGCCACACCATAAATACCAAGAACCCCCCCACGCAATAAATAAACCCAGGGGGTAATAAATAGTCTCTTAAATACATAGAAAAGAAAAGGATGAGGATGAAATGCCACAAAACCTCCCGCTCCCCTCCAGAGGCTGCCATGGCTCCTGGAGGGGTGGGGGGAATCTGTTTCAGGGCTGGGAAAGAACCCAGGTGTCCAGGCTCCCTGTAACCCACCAGACCCTGGTCCCTGCCCAGAGCTGGGAGAGAACCCACCCAGGTGTCCTGGCTCCCAGCCTCCCTGCTCTACGCCATCAGACGCTGAGCCATCACCAAGCAACAGAACCCAGGCGTCCAGGCTCTCAGATGATGTAGCTGGGACTCAGCACCTCAGGGGTCTGGCCCAGGATTCCCAGGGGGTCGGCAGAGTCCACATCCACACCGGGCTGGGCAAAGGGGTACTCTAGGAGCACAGGCTCGGCGGGGATGTGGCTGGCCAAGGGCAG